AATGATAAAAATAAAATGTTTATAACAAATAAAAAAATTAATATAGTATTTCTTTATTGAATGTTTTTAATACATAGACTTAGTTTTTCCAATTATAATAATAATAAATTCTTTATCTAATAATATACCTTAAATATCGTTAATAACTATAAATATTTTATTTGCATGTAATATTAATCTATTTAGCAATATCCTTTCTTCTATTTCGTCTATTAACAAGATAAAATATTTGATATCATTACACTTCACTCACTGAAAATATGTATGCAAAGTAGTATATAGAATAGAAGGAATATATTGATTCTTGTGACTGCAAATTCATTAATATTTGTAAATACCAAATATTTACATGATTCTTTTTGATGAAGCATTGATGTCTTCAGCAATCAAGCTTTGCTACATGTAAACATGGGATAAAAGGCCATATTAAGTTTTGAATAAATGATGAATGTCTATAGCTGAATAATCCCTGAAATCTTTGTGATGTAATGTTCACTTTGTCTGGTCTTGTTGCAGTATGCCCCATATAGCAGTGTTATTAACTCAAAATTGCCTTTTCATGGTATATTTCTTTTCTATTGAAAACTCCCGTGTATGGATGAGGAACCACCAAGATGCTAACTGTGAACTACAAAGTCAAAGAAAAAACCCTGTCAAAATATTGATTGACCCTTTGCAAGAGCACAGCTGACAAGCTTGGGGTGATCTCATGAAGAAATAATCTATGTACATGACTCCAAACTTACAATCTATACTGATTATAAGTGAAAGTAAATACAATAAATACAGTGACATCGCAATTCCAGTGATTCATCAGGTTTTGAATCAGATCCTAGTTCCAATTTCCGTCTGGATTGTATCATTCCATTTCCATGAAACTCGGGTCACTTGACTCATTTTGGAACTAAATTAATACTGGTCATAATTCGTGGTAGCTATAACAATAATTTGAGGATCAGATCCCCCATATGATGATTTCTTGTTATTGACATGTGTGCAAATTATCTGGAAATAAAAATAATTCATAATATATTTTTTTTTTCGTAAAGGAAACCAATTATTCTGTTACATCATAAAAAGTCTAATTTATTCAACAATTTACAAGTTTACTGATATGCTTTAAATCATGAAATTTTTTGAGTAAGCTGATTATTTTATTTGTTTATTAATAACAATAATTGTTAAAAATTTTTTATGCAATACTGACTTGTGGTACTTTGCGCTAATATGTATAAAAAAAAGAATAACTGAATTAAGATTTAATATTAATTTCTCATTTTTTAATTTATCATATGTATTATACCATTATAGGCACTTGGAATACTATTAATACAGCTATTTCGTAAACGGAAATAAATATCATTGCCAGAACTAAGGATAGATAAGTGAGAAGGATAACAATGAATTGCACATTCATAATCATTATTATTAAAGTTTAGTATTGGTATCACTTCAATTAATAATATTAAAAACAAAACCTACTATTGTATTTTTATATTGACTTCCATTCCAATCAAGTGGATTATAGCAACCAAAAATTTGATCTGAATTTTGTAATCTTCCATCTACAAGGGTTTTATTGACATTATCATGTTCCTGATAAAATGTTTTTGCATCCAAACCATCTCTGTCATAATACAATATAAAAGCTTAAATTTATATCTAACTTCCTCGAATAAAGTATATAGCAGAGTTTTCTATCAATCCAACTTGCAAGAAGCAAGATAATTTTTTGGTTGTTTCAAATTTTGGAATTAATGATTCAAATTTTCGATTTCTAGATTGTAGTAAATTTAAAGTTGGTGCTTCATCAGAAACTATATAATAATTTCCACATTGCTCTAAGAAATAGCATTAGATATGGCATGATTTTGTAAAAAATATCCTTGTTAGCAATGCCCTGAAATCTAATTAATGTAACGAATTCTTTTAATCTGTTTCCTAGATCAACGAAGTTTTGTGATGACCAATATCATTATTATTATTATTGATTTCTGGATGTTTTGCCAATCCCCATTAAGAATATTTTCCCAACTTCTATCTCATCAACAACAAATTTGTCTCTTTTAAGAATTTCCAACAAGATTGATTTCTTCAATGATTCAGATTCACTTGATTAAAATAGCTTTTTACTGTCATTATAAATTTCTTCTAATGAATAACTTTAATTTTCATTCGCATAAATTAATTAAATTAGAACCGTAACCAGATTTTCTTTTATATAATCTTGGTGATTTTCAATAAGTATTTCGTTGTGTGTTTGTAAAGTGATCAAAGATCAAGCTCATCAACAACTCTAATGCATTAACCCTGACATAATTATTAAATTCGATTTTACAAGTATACAAAATCTAATAAATAAATGTTATTATACATTCATTTGATAATAATAATTTCAAAATATAATTAAATTAATCACTTGGCTTTTAAAAACCAATTCATCGACATTTGCCATTGTAAGAATGTAATACCAGTTTTACGTTGTTGCATTGTTTAATGCATTTTTAAAATACAAGCAACGAGCTTGTAAAATAGATGAATTTCATTTAAATTTGGTTCTTCACAACATTGATAATTATCTTTTGAATCCAATAATCCTTGAAAGTCGTTGAAATGTTCTGTTAATAATGTTGTATCCATTTATCTTTATTGTAAGAAAATTTGTTCTGCTGTTACACCTGACAGGACCAGAGGTTACTATTACATCCTTAAATGGCTAAAGCTCGACTTGAAATTTTTTAAGATGATCTTTCCATAAAAGTAGTGGGTATGATCTAATGTTTGAAAAAAATTTTCCTTAAAAATATAAACGCGTTTTTACAAATAATGTTTATAAAGAAAAGAAGAGGCAGACCAAGCTCACAAGATAAGCGGATACTGGCTTTATTTAACAAACTTCCTGTTCCATCACAATGCAACTTTGAAGAATGGTTTGATCCAGAAAAACGTTTTCCCGAGATTTTTGCTGAAAGGGATAATAACAGATCAGATAGCATTAATAATAATAATGAAGAAAAAGAAGAAGTGAATGCAGTAAGTAGCCTCAAAAGTTGAGTTTATTTTACTTGTATATAATACTATTGGCAGTTAATTAGTAAATATTTAAAATATTTTGAATGATCTATATAATTTTATACATTAGGAAGATCAGTTGAATAATGATGCAAATAATATAATGTTAGCTGAAAGTGCTAATTCATCTACAAATGCTACACCTATTATTGATAATAATAATAATGTGGATATTGATTCAACTCCAAAATCTTCAATAACAACAACGCCTATTCGATTAAGAATTACAACTCGTAGTGTTATGAATAATGAGAGGCCAATAACAGTAAGAAGACTACAATGATAATTGCGCCGATGATTTACTACAAAAAAAATTATAATAACATGTTAATAATAATAAATTATGTTTTATAGTTTTCACCAGAAACACCATCAAAACCGCCAAGAAAAAGAAAAATATATCCTCTTGATGAAAAAGAAGAAGAAGCCCTTTTATCAAGGTTAGAACATGCCGCTTCTATTCGTCCTCTTAACCCAAAAGCAAACAGGTTAAAAAGAAAGTTGCTATTAAGAAAAGTAAAATTATTATTATCGCTATCATTATTATTATCACTATTATTATTTATCAATATTGACATATTTAATAAATTAATTAGTATGTCTAATTATCAATTATCATATTTTTTTAGTGGAAACGAAATTTAGGATTAGAGAATTTTGATATAGACTCAAAAGTTTCGGATCAGATGAGATCATCGCCAGATATTAAAATACTGGTTCCTATAGAAACACGGGAAGAAGAGGATGAGTTAAATGATGATAATTATGTTAATAATGTTAAAGATGAAGGTAGCGGCGGTGAAAAGAATGACGAAACTGCTTCTATTAAGGAATTTGAAGTAAATGATTTCAATCATAATAATAATATGGAGAAAAAGGATGAAGAGGTGAGCTAAAGCAATTTGATTGATTGATTTTTTTAATAGATAATAATATTAAAAATGATCATATATTTATAAGTTAGTCTCTTTATTTTAAATAATTAATTAATTTATATAGAATTCTATTACAAATACACCTTACAAAAATTCATTTGCATCAAGATTATATGGTAATCCTCGACTTTCATCATCGTTTACATCGTTACCTTATATATATAGGGATTATGAAACTATACCGCCAAAATTGAAATTATTAAATGATATTGTCAAATATGCTAATAGGTTACGCATTATTTACATGTTATTAAGTAGTTTACACTGAAAAGAATTAATTTATTTATTTATTTAAATTTTCATCCTTTTAGAAATGATCCGGATTGGATTCCTCCACCTTCTTATCCAATTGATTATTGTTATTTTCAAAAAGAACATTTAAACCAAGTCAATGATCTATTACAAAAAAGCTTTTGGCCTGAAATTGAAGGTACAAGTTAATAGAGCTTATTTATAATTATTATTTGTAAAATAATTTTATCATCAATCAATTTATTATTATTATTGTCCACATAATTTATCAGTTTCAGAAAATCTACAATTCCCAGAATTTAGCGTAATTGCTCTGTATAAAAGATTAGTAATTGGATGTGGATTTATGACGCCAGAAGTATATACAACATATTTTGTTGTTGCTCCTGGTTGGGAAAAATCTGGAATTGGAAAGTAAGTAATAATTAATTAATGAGTGGATTAGATTGTTAATAATTTATTAAATTATTATTTTTCAAATAAATGTTAGATTTATGCTTTATCATTTAATACAGGTTGGTTCGTTATCCTTTTGACTAATGTTTCACATTCATTAATTTACAAATTTTTTTTATTGAAAAATTAGACAAATATTGGAAATGATATAAAACTCCAAGTATCAACCAACAATCCAACAACGGTAACTACACATCCTTTATCATCATTGTCATTGTCATTGTCATTGTCATTGTCATTGTCATTGTCATTGTCATTACTATTATTATATTATTTCAAATACACAATAATAATTTACTAAATATATATAATTAAAGATTCTTTATCAAAAGTTGAGATCTAAGCCAGAAGAGTTTATTATTAATTTTCATGATGATTTTAATGACAATAAACATTTGATAACGGATGATGGAAGTTTAAGATGTAAAAATGCATTTTTTGTAAGATTTAAAAGATGACAGGACAGGTTGGATCCTTTTTTTGCAAAAAAATTATTTTCATTTTAATTTAATATAAATAAAAAAATTGCAAGTAATATTAATAATGTCAAGTTTCAATATATTATCACTCTTTTTTTCATATACGAAGAGAAAAAAATTTTTTTTAACAACTTTTACTCGTTCTTTTTTTTTTCAATAGACCATATTAGGCTATTGCTATTGTTGTGATCATTAATTAACCTGATTTTTCTACAAATGGGTAGCTAAAAATCTAATTCTTGTTTAAAAAAAAAATCTTTTTTTTGACAACTTGGCATAATCCTGTTCGATTCTTGTTTATAAATTTTTTTTTTTTTTTTGATAACGTAAAAAATTTAAATTATTTACAATGCACACAACCTCCCCGTTTTATCATTAAGTGGAAACTTGGCATCGTCGATTCTTGTTTTTAATATTTTTTACTTGCAAATTTGAAATGTAACACGTGATCCGAATCCAAAAAGAATATTATTATTTATTAAAATTAAATATAACAATTTAGGATCTTGTACAAGTTAGAAATGTCATAGTAATATATAGCGATTACATTTCCGATCTGTGTAACCAATCTCTACAATTCAAACACCATCCATCATAAGTTATTATAGCATCCTCTCTAGGTAAAGTTATTCAAAACAGTATTACTTTTCACTTTAAAACTAAGATATTTCTCCAATATTACCTTTATAAATTTGATGGGTGGTTGAGAAGATGTAAAATATTATAAGCTTTCATATGGGAATCAGAGAAAATGGCAAAAGACCAAAAAAAACAATAAAATTTTGGGATAAAATTATTTACCAGTACCGAAAAATAAGCTTTCCAGTGACAAATAACAATTTTCTATAAAAGCGTGACAATTAATATAATGAATTGTGGGTGACAAACCATTAAAAAAAGGGAAATGTCATAGGGCGCTATCTTTCGGGACTTTACGGTATGCAAACAAATAGGGAAAAAAGTATGGGCAAGAGATCATCAGTCATAATGACCAAAAAAGAGATAATTAATTTCCAAATGCAGCAAAAACTTTTATCACTAAGGCTTTTCTCCGAGTAAAATTAAGGTTTGTGGCTAATTTTATCATATGGACGGGTTTTGGAAATTGGGGTGTAAGCATTCATTACCAGTCATTTCTTAGATAATAGTCTGCGCCAATATTTTTATGGGTTTAAGCTATTGCAATGAAACTTTTGTCTATTACGATACGCTAGATTTTCTTTAAAAAAAGATTACTAAGTAACATTGTTCGAATGTATGAAAAGATTTAAAATTCAAACGTTTGATCACCAAAATTTCGGAAAAAACACTTGAAAATCGTTTGCGTGACAAATCTTCTGAGTGAATGATTGATTATTCCGTCATTTTTTTTTTTGCTTCTATGTTACATTTATTAAGGGGATTGAGACCACGCGACAAAATTTTAAATTAAATATTTCAAATTCAGTTAAAAGCCATTATTTATTTAAATTTCATTCAATCCCTATTATAATTGACCAATTTGATGGCTGAATCAAAACAGTTAATAAATTCTTTACATATATATACATAAATCCCTTAGCATCGGCCGGGATTAAAGTTTATATTTAGTAAACACCGATTTTTTTTTTATTTTAAAGCAATCAGATAATAATAATAAATAACAATAAAAATTGATATTATATTATTATTATCATTAATCAAAGACTTTTGGTTGATACTATTTAAAGTAATAGACGGTGAGTGTGAATTGAGTCACGTGAGTAGACAATATTATTATTTGATCTACATCATGTTCGTAAAAGATTTTTAATACTAATACTTATCACAGTTGACTCAAAAACAGCCAATTAAATTGTAAGTTTTCTTATCTTAATGAAATTAATAAATTAATCAATTAGGAAATGATAAATTACTTTTCATTTTATAAAAAAAAAAATTTTTTTTGATAGGTTTTCCCTTTCCTTTTTCTTCATTTTCCTTGTTTTCTTTCCCACTATTATTATACATCAATGATAAAGCAAATGAATGTGATAAAATAATCATACCACGACAGTTGTTATTGTTATTTTTATTTTTATTGTTATTGTTATTAATTTATTATTATATAATTATATAAAAATGCTTTTATTAAAAAAAAAAGCCGTAGATTTCTACTAGTTTTATTTTAGTCTGTCAAATACAATGGAATATATACATATTCGGTATATATTTTTAATATCAACATTACCATTAGTATATAAATACTCGTGATGTGAATTTTTTTCAAAAAAAACCGCGAAACATTATTTTTTATAAGATTTTTTACACCTACTCTGTCATTTTTAAATTAAATTACTATTTTTTAATTTATTATAATTATCTTTTATATAAAGAAAATTAGTAATTTAATTAACGTGTAAAACACCAATTCAACAATAATACTCATCAATTTATTATCATAAATCCATCATAATTTAATGATAGTTTTTTTTCAATCATACATTCACATTCTTTTCATTCACGAATGTCATTTTGTTTTTCAATTCGCAACTTATTGACCTTAATCATTTTTACAAAGCTATCTTACAACGTTCATTATTCCTTTCTAGAACCTTTTCTCGTCATATCTGTACTCATACTCGTAATTGTAGCAATGCAAGAAAATCAAAAATTTATCCCACGTCTTTTAACCGATCTAAAGAAATTGTATCATGGTGATGTAGAAGGCGATGTGTTAATAAAAGTTGGCAAAGAGCCTGATGAAGTTAAAGAATACCAAGTCCATTCTTTCCTTATGAAAGCAAGATCTAATTATTTTAACGCGGCTTTATCAAACAAATGGAACGAAACAACAATACCAATTAACAATGATGATGGCGAAAATGCACAAGGTGGAAATACAAAGGATGCAAAGATTGTATTCAAAAAACCAAATATAAAGCCAAAGATATTTGATGCATTATTCTCGTAAGCTTTTTATATATGATAAGTGAAAAAAAATTGTATATAAATATCGATTGACTAATTATCATCTCATACATTAGATATATTTACATTGGCGAGGTTGATTTGACAGATTATGATGGATTTATGTTAATAGAATTGTTGGAAGCTGCTGATGAATTATTGATGAATGATGAATTGGTGTTACACGTACAAAAATATTTAAGAGACACGAAAACCGATTGGATTCAAGAAAATCTTTTCAAGTTTCTAAAAAAAATTTTTTTATATGATCATGAAACTTTCGAGTCGTTAAGAAACTATTGCATAACAATTCTATTACAAAATCCTCAAAGTTTTTTTGATTCCGAAGAGTTTTTAAACAGTGATAGAATTTTTCTATACCAATTATTAAAGAGAGATGATCTAGATTTGGAAGAAGTTGAAATTTGGAACTATTTAATAAAATGGGGAAAGCATCAATTTAAAACATTTCTTGATGAAAATAACGACAATGATGATGATGATAATAATATCGAGAATAAAGATGATAGCATTGAAAATATTGAAAATAGTGATGATGATGTTAATGATGGCAACAATAATCATAATATTCGTGTTTATGTCGATAAATTGGATGGATGGACACACGAAGATTTTTATAATTTTGAAATCATTTTGCACGATCTAATTCCACTAATACACTTTTTTAAAATATCACCACAAGATTTCTATTTGCACGTTTATCCTTATCACGAAATTCTACCTAAAATGTTACTCGATGATTTATTAGGCAGTTATCTATTACCAAACTATATTCCAAAGCAAATGAAACTACTCTTCCCAAGAAAATCGCCAGTCGATTCGAAAATTATCACACTTAAGCATTCAATCATAATCGAACAATGGATCGATAAAGAAGATGTTAACAACAATACTATTATAAACAATTATTGGAATAGTTTAAATACACAGTCATCATCATCATCATCATCATCATCATCATCATCAACAACAACGACAACATTACTTACTAATTATAATAACATTAATAGGTATGATTGGTCGTTATTGTTTCAAGGTAGCAGAGATGGATTTAGTGGAAAAGTATTTCATGAGAAATGTAATGATAAAGGTCCAACTGTTGTCGTAGTGAAGATTCGTGGTACCGCGGAATTGGTGGGCGGTTATAATCCAATTGATTGGTGCTCTCCCACCATTTATAAAACTTTCGAGAAAGACAGTTTCATTTTTTCACTCGGATCATCGCATAAGATCGATAAAGCGATCATTAGTAGGTTATTACCTGAATCTGTCGACACACGATTCTTTCAAAAATCCACTACTGGTCCAATGTTCGGTAATCATGATTTATATATTTCTGATGAATGCAATAGCAATGTAAGTAGCAGAGAATTTATTTTTATTTTGCATGTAAGTGTGAATATACAAGTGATTTAATGATTTTTCCTTTTTTTTTTGCAGTATTTGTCTATGCATAAGAGAGAAAATTATGCTCGTAGGATACGTGAACACGGTCACTTCCTGGTTGAAGATTATGAAGTGTTTAAAGTCACCAAAAAAATCTAATTATGTTATGGTTTATCGTTATATTTTTCTTATATTTTATATTTTAAATGTATTATTTTTTAATTTATATGTTATTCTTAAATACCTTTTTTTATGCCAACGAGAAAAATAAATATAATATATGCCTTTTTGATTCTTATTTTAAGAATTAAAAATTTAAATTATGGGTAATTCACCATTTGCATCAGCACAGTTATTGAACTTATTTAAATCCTTGAAATCGGTATCTTTTCCGCAATTGAAATGAGTTATAATCAGTGCACAGAGCTTTTCTGTATGGTCTAGAAGAAGATATTAATTTGAAGTTTTTGAAGTATGATGCCTTCAGAAAGCTGTGACATCAATTGATGCCAGAAATTCAAATTTTAATAATAAACAATTATTGTTCACTTATATTTAAAATTGATTAATACAATGTTTATTGGTTTTTCCTTCCAAGCACATATATACGCACAATGTATATTTCCAATATATAACAATGTATGTATGTATATATATAATATAAATATAAATTGTTTACTGTTATTTTTCCCAAAAAAAAAGTTTTTGGGTATGTATGTAAATGTAAAAAAAATGTATTAGATTAAAAAAAAAAATAAATCAAAAATAAATAAATGCGTTGAAATAAATAATCTAATTTATTTATATACATGATAATTCTAATTAATTATAAAAGTATAAAGACAATAAATATATAAAATAACAAATATATAAAATATATTAATATAAATAATATAAAAAAATAAAAAATAAAACAGTCCCTTTCTGTATATTTTATTTAATCGGCATTAATCCTATAATAATTACAAATGAAATGATATTGTTATAAGAAACATTAAAATTTTCCACCAAATAAATGTTCTTTTCAATAATACTTACTTTGACTATCTGAATTGTACGAGTTTGACAAAATTCCATTGTTTAATGAATAAATTGCAGCGTTAATTCTTTCGATCCATTTAACCTGTTCGTCATAACTAGTTGCCCTAACTGTGTGTCGTCTATCAGCATCATTTTGCTTGACAATAACTTGAAAACAAAATGGTTGATCTGCTGCATCTTCCTCAAGTGCTCTAACCATCGCGTATTTGAGATTAATGTCTCCTTTATACAGCAATTTCCCTTGGAATTCTATACAAAACAATAATAAATCATTAAATAGGAAATGAACTCGCACATCTTTAGTTGAGACGTAGGATGGTTTTGTTGATGATGACGGTTTTTTTGGCATGACTTTAAACAAGTCGCCTTTATATATAAATCTTCGAGCTGGATCGATTATATTTGTTGGTAAGCCTTCTACTTGTGTTTGAATTTCTAATACTCTTTGTTGGTTTTCTGCATCTCTTATTCTAAATAAAACAATTTTTTTTGGAATAGAAAATTGTTAAAGAATTATTTAAATTATATGATATTATTACGATAATACACTACTTACTTTTCATTAACTTCGTCAGCAATTGTAGAAATTTGTTCTACACATTTTTTAAGTGATTTATAATCTGGATGTGACTCGACCGTATAGTTGAATAATTGTTCCAATAATAATCTGTACCGTGGAATTCTTTGAATTGGTAAACTTATAAATGAATTGAATGGTAGCCCACCTAATTCAGGTTTAGATTGACAATTCTAATGAAAAGATCACAAATGATAATAAAAAATTTAATTAAATTGATTAAATTAAATATTCATATGTAAATGTGCATGTGTTTATTTATATATATAAATAAATATATGAAGATACTTACTAATAAATATTTTTTAAATTCTTTGCTTTCATTATTTAGTCTTTCCATTGTTGATATTGCTTGTGGAAAACTTTTTAAATAAATTGTATACATTTTTAAAAATGGCGCCTAGTCAAATCAAAAAACAATATAATATAGATTAAAATATAATACAACATTATTTTCAATTCTCTATTATCATTATACTAACAATTTGCAAAAAAATATCACTAATAAGCTGTTTAGGATTCCAATTATAATATCTCTCCTCTAAATTTTTCAATAACTGTTCATGTAGTGCCAACAACTGCTCAATATTTCCAAACAATAAAGTAATATCTTCAAGTGTTGCCATAGGGTTTTTGTTAACAGTTAGCAGCACATTTCGCGACATTGATTTTTGATAATCTTCACGTAGCGGTACCAAGAATACACTAACAAGTTTACGTAAACCTTCAACATATGTTTTTTCAGTGGTCACTATCTCTTTTACAGCTGCTTCTCTTTTACGGTTCCTTGATAATGTATTCATTGCTGAGAAATGGAAAAGTATATTAATGAATTGAGAAATATGTTAATAAATTTATTTGCAATAATATGTATGTGATTGATCACCTGTTTTTTTCTTGTCCTCTTTTTCTTTTTCTATTTCTATATTATCTTTCACTTCTAAAACGTCGTTAATATTATTACTATTACTATCATAATTATCGTCATTTTCATTAAAATTATTATGATTAGGATTTTCATAATCCTCATCTTTATGATCATCATCATCATTATTATAATATGATTCATAAAGTTTATCAATAATATCTTGAGCGCCTGTAAACTCAAATGTTGAAGGTGTAAAAGATGGTACACGTGGTGCACTATCTCTAATAATATTAGTGTGAGATGATTTTTTATGATGTGAATTATAATTTAATGGTGGTTTTTTGCTATTGTAATTATCGTAATTATTATCATTTGTAGTAGTATTATTTTTACTTGTATTAGCATTATTAGTATTAAATGAATGTTGCGAATGTGGTATTTTTGGAGCATAAGAATATGGCGAGTATGGGGTATGTGGAGTTTGTGGGGTATGTGGAGTTTGTGGTATAGGTGGATAATACGCTACGTTGTATTCTTCTTGATTTTGATTATTGTAATAAGGAAATGTATTTTGTCTAATGTTAATCCCAAGATCCAAAATACAGTCCAATGATATTAACTCGGCGCGCAGCATGTTACAATATCACTGCGCGCCGATTGGTCTTAAAAAAAAATTTATGGCTACAACTATCCGCCATCCTTATATTCCTCTACACATATAATTATTAACTTAGTAGCTTTACATATTAACATTATTAATTCGTGGTTTGCACATTATTAAAAAAAAATTTTTTTTATACAAAGTCACATGAAATTACACAATTACAGAATTATATATAGAAAGGGAATAATAATTTCTACTTTTCAGCAATTTTTATTCTATTAATACCAAATAATAATTAATATACAAAGAAAGAATTTAATAATAATAGTCACGCAACAATTCCTTCTAATTGTACGCCGTATCATTTACTATAAATCCTTTTTTTTTGGAAAGGAAAAAATTTAATTAATGCAATGCTGTCTGTGTACATGCCTTTTAATAATAGTAGTATAGAATATTTGGATATTGAATTTCTATCATTGATAAAAAAAAATTTTTTTAAAAATAGTCAAAAGTGTACAATTTTATCAAAAGTTTGCATCTTTGACAAACGTTTAATGTAAATCAAATTACCAATGTATCTTCTAAAATAATAATAAATAAATAATTATCGCGTAACAATTCTTTCTGGAAAAAAAAATTAATTAATGCAATGTTGCATACATACCTTTAATGGTAGTATATGATAGTAGTATACTGACTGATAGCAGTATTAATATAAACTAGAATTAATTTAAAAAAATATTATATAAATTTAATAAATTTAATTATAAATAAATAAATATTCTCCAATTAATATTAATATTTAATAATGAACAATTCCAAGTATATTATTCAACAAAAATTCATTGTAAATCAACCGTTATATTTATCATTTCCAATAAACTACTATATTCTTTTAATATAATAATGATAAGGTTGATAATATTAAAGCAAACATATGATAATTATAATGATAATAAATTACAATGCTTCAAAGACTTCAATTTAGTTGTATCCATCTCTCTTGCATTTAGCCCATAATGTGAATGTGGCTTTATTTCACCTACTGAAGCCAAATTTGTCATTTTAAATTTCTACAATTAAAAAAAGATTCTATTAATTAATTAATAGGCTTATTATCAAACCCGCATTTTACTATTCGCGAATTAATTATTTTCAAGGGTTTGAATTTTTTTAAATAAAAAAAGGGTGGTTTTTGTTTTAATCATCAATCGAATCAATATTATTACTTTTTTTGTTATTGATTATATGATTGTTTTTTATATTTCATAATTCTGTCGATGCCTATTTCCCTCTTCCCATCTAATGATTTATTGCATCATTATATATCCAAAAAAATATTTTTCCCTAGCTATACTGATTATTTTACAAAATCAAATATTCTAAATTAACATTGTTAAAAATTCTTATAATTTTGGCAAGAATTACCTAAAATGGAAGTATCGAATAAAAATTTTTAATACAAAAAAATGACCTTTACTTTTTTGGTTTGGTTTGTTCTTTAAAGACAAGAAAGATTTTTCATTATTGTTGTTATCTTGTTTGGTGAGACCCTAAACCCTTTTTAATCTTAAAGATATCCCTAAAATTTGATGTCGTTAGTTGATCAGTACCATAATAATAACCAATGGATTTGGAAGACATGCATGTAGCAATCTTTTGATCAACTGTTTATTTCTATATTAATATATAAAATTTTTAGCAAAGACCCTTTTCCCTGAATACAACCTCAATTTTATTTTAAATGGACATGAAGACAATAAATTAATTTGTATGAGAGATCTGCCCTATCAATATAGAAAATCTTGACACAGAAACAGAAATACAGTGCGGAGTCTTCCTGCCTTTCCGTATATTTTTATTATTAATATAGGAAATACCCGGGAAACATATGGGCTCACACTAATACTAATACGGAAAATAAATTTCGTTTGTTTTCAGCGTGGTATTGGCATGTTTTCAACATATTATTATTACATTGGTTAACATATTCTTCATATAAAATGTAAAAATTTTGTTGTGTTATCAGAAATTAAATAATCAATGAACGGTATTAACTCAAACATATCAAACCCTAGAAAGTTTATTATTGAGGGACACGTAAATTAATCAATGTCTGTTGGGCTGCAATGCTCATTCCAATCAAATTTACACCTTTTTGCCGAAGGATTTTTTAATAAATAAAATAAACAAATCGCAATAATACTAAGACCGTGCAAAATAAAGTTTTGGAAAATTAGAAAGTTTCCATCACCCACCTTGTCATCCACGTGATGGTGGAAAATTTTCCAATGGTATTCCGTTGGCCGTTCATTATTAGATACATGTTTCGATCAATTTATTATAAATTTCTTGAGGAATGTTAGACCATTCCTCTTGAAAGCATTTTCCAAATCTGTTGTATTTTTAGGAGCCTTTTTCAATCGGATAAAGGTTGAGAAGGCAAAACACACTTGTTCGCTATAATTCAGCAGAAGGTTTTCGTTCTTTGCCATTTATCTTCAATAATAACAATTTATTAAACGCAATTGGCATGCATTATGTTAAAATTTTACGCAATTGACAAAAAACGAAGCTCGTTCGAATACTCTTTTTCGAGCAGTGGATCACGAAAATTGTTGGTTATTGTATCAACTCCTAATCACGCATTTTCTGGTCTTCCATAACATTCAGCTCTTCTTTAAATTAAACTAATTGAAGCCTCTTTTATGTCCACGGAACTTTTATACTCGAAAGAGGAACCTTCATAGCAGCGAAAAGGATATTTTTATTAAATCTACACCTAACCTCAATCTCAATAGATATTAATCTTGGGTAGCTCTTGATTTCCGTTATCATTTTATATGGTCCGGCTCAGTCTTTTTATCGAATGAGTTTTATATCATTCCGCAGCTTCCAAACATTTTTGTTCGCCAATTGGTTTATGCTTATACTTGGATTGATTGTACCTCATTTCTAATGCAATAATGAACTTCTAATATAAATAAGATTTATTTAAAACCTTTTGCTTTGAATATTTATAGTTTATTGGTCAGTAGTCCATTTTTCTCTTTTTTTTAACTTTTTTTATTTAAAGATTCTTCTAAAATTATGTTAAACTTGATCCTTTCAAAAAGAAATATTACAAAATTTGTGCAAAATTATGACATCAAAACAATAATTTATTTGAATACTGATAGCATAAGTTGTGACCTTTTACTTTTTTTAGGGATATCATCAATTAATATTAATATTAAATTGATCACTGTTTGTTTCACGAGGGAAATGTAGTGTAGCAC